TGGAAGTCAAAAAAACAAAGCCCCAAAATAAAACAGAGTATTTCTACTGTCTAGAAAACTACATGGACATGTCTCAGAATTATGAGAAGTTGGGTTCTCATACAAAGTACATTATTCTGATTTGTTTTTATTGTCTGCAGGATTCAAATAAAATAGCATCTATTGTTCTTCTATTGCCCTTATTTGGAGACACTGTATATTCAGACTAACAAAAGTAGACTGGAAGTCCCAAACAAATTATTCAGAAAAATTAATTGCCATAGTAAATTACTATTTTAAGAGTTCAAGGATCACAATTCTAGTTGCATGGGGACAGTGATAGATACCCTAAAACAGCATTTTTCAGAACGTTAATGTTTTTCAGAAGTTTCTAGTATTTTCTGGATGCATCATGAAGTTCCTCCCTTTCCTTAGCCAATAGTATATTATGTCTGATAACAGGGTTTTATTTTTTTTAAATCCCCCTCTACTGCATCATTTAGTTCAATTTAAATACTTATTGTCAATTTATACCTGCATTAACATTAAAGCTGAACAATTACGGTAAACAAGCTGAATTAGTATAATTTTGTATTGCATTTAAAAATACAACCTATAAATTTTGACATAAAATTTCTCAAAGCAGTTACTTTCAGCAATTTATTTTCCACTAAAGCTTTCAGGTACTAAGGATGATGCCAATCAAAATCATAAAGCCATTTTTAAAATGTTCACAGATGAAGAACACCCACCTGAAGATCTGGGATTATTCCTTCCCTAAGGTAAGAAATGAAATATATGTATACAGTATGTGTGTATGTATATGTGTATGTATATATACACACACATTATACTACCTATACAATTATATTTACATACCCACTCACACACCCCTGCAAAATTTGACAGGAAGTCCCTCAAGTAACCAGGCCCTATGCTATGAAGAGTTTAATAGGTAACAATTAACATCATTAATGGCACCCAGGATCAAACTGGCAACCAGTGCTAAAGGTATGTTACACTGACATACCAAGGTGTGCCATCACTATCTGCAGCATTGAGTTTTGGACTAGTTGGGTCTTCTGAATGATCTTGAAGGGCAGCCCATGTGTAATGCATTGAAGTAGGCAGGCCATGAGATGATCAAGGCATAAGCTACTTTCTGAAGGGCCTCCTAATCTAGGAAAGCATGCAAATGCCACAACAGATGAAATTGTGCAAAGGCCATCTTGGCCAACAAGTTGTTGAACAAGAGCTGTAAATTCAGGAAGACCCTCATTTAATGGACAACCTCAAAGTGGAATATCCTCGGATCTGGAGAGCCAAAACACTCACAGCCATTTGCTTTTGGTAGGTTTGTGTCAGAGGTGGTTCCTGCCTATCCAAAACCACACAGCCTCTAGAACTTTTATAGCCTCACTTCGTTGGCCTTGGAAATCATCAGTATATTGATGATATTGAACCCCAAACTGGTGGATGACCCTACCAATAATTTCATATAGATGTTGAAAAAGGAGAGAGAGAGAGAGAGAGAGAGAGAGGGAGGGAGGGAGGGAGGGAGGGAGGGAGGGAGAGAGAGAGACAGACAGACAGAGACAGAGACAGAGAAACTCTGTCTTATCCTATACAAGTGAGCCTGTAAGAGCCATGGTGGCACAGTTGTTAGAATGCAGTATTGCAGACTAACTCTGCACACCACCAGGAATTCGATCCTAACCGACTCAAGACTGACTCAGCCTTCCATTCTTCCGAGGTTGGTAAAATGAGGACCCAGATTGTTGGGGGCAACATACTGACTCTGTGAACTACTTAGAGATGGCTGTAAGTCACTATGAAGTGGTAAATAAGCCTAAGTGCTGTTGCTATCTCTAATCTCCACCCAACGTTGACTGGATCTGGACGCAGAGAAGTTGATATTATCAAAAGCACTGAGAGATCAAGGAACATAAGAATGGATGCACCTTTTCCATCCTAGCTCTGCTTCAGGTAAGCATGACCAAGGCTGTCTCAGTACTAAATTCTAGCCTGAAACCCAAATGAAACAGATTGAAACTGGTCAACAGATGTAGAAATGTACCACAATATATATGGGGTAAGAACAACCTAGTTCGTTGACAGTTTGTCATCTTAGTATACTACTAAGTATGTTAAGTATGTTTGTATGTTATACATCTTAGTATACATACATTAAACCTTTTCTTTTCATACATTCATTATACTGTTTTGTAAAAAGCAAAATTTAGTTGCTGTGAACATTTATAGCAAAAATATACAAAGGTGACTAAAAGCAGCCAGCTGCTGAATGATTAAACAAGGTTATATCCAAATCAAATCTTTGATGTACATTTTGTTATGATCTTCTATATAAGTGAGCCAAATCCTGATAGGAATTATAAATTATTCTTTTCTGAAAGCTTCAGTGGATGAAAACATCTCTTTTGTTCACATGTCTCACTGGGCAGTAAAATATCTCCATTAATTATCTCTAATGAGAGAGCAACTAAAGGAATTGAGGAGCAAGCCATTGCTTACAGGAAATATTAATCTTTAAGTAAGATGCAGACATTACTGAACAAATTTATCTTATTTAGAAAAGCATGTCATGAAATACCAATAGAAAAAAATAATCTGAATATACTCAAATTGTGAAATTTTATCAGTCGACATAACATATTCTTCTAATGAGTGAGCTATTGAGTGACCTTTGGTTTGCATTGTAGTTGGAAAGAAGTAAGAAAGTAAAGAATAAGGATTGTGTAATTTAATAAGGCAGAAACTTTATTAGCTTTGTTTTAGTTGATTTAGGCAATGAGAACAGGGACTTGGTTTGGTTAGCTTAAAGTAACTACAAAATTCCTGCAACCACTGGCAAGCTTATGAAGAAAAATTGTAGCAAATAACTGATAAAGTTAGATACTCATATCCTTATTCTTTTTAAGGGATGTATTTCAGCTCCATTTCACTTTGTATGCTAATGTAAGATACTGAAGCTCATAAAATTTCTCCATTGTTGTCTTTCCTTGAAAAGAAGACTACATTTCTCCCCAAATTGATATTAAAATGGGAAGGGTTATCCTGATTTTATTGAAAATACTGCAATGGGGTAGGTTTACTTTTATGTTTAATTTTTGGAAGGAGGAAAGGGGTGATGATGGAAATATCCTGACATAACTTGCCCATGTTAGAAACAGAATTTCCGCCAGAACAAAATCTCTAATTTGTGATTCTAAAGCTCAAGATTAAAACCTCTCCCTCAAAATAAATAAGAAGAATATAAATATAACCACTATGTAGAATGTCAAATTAGGTCAGTTGGACCCAATCAAACAAGCATTTTTCTTTACAACTGACCTGTACTATAAAGGGCTATAATGAGATGGCTTAATAAAAAAAGCTCTTTCTCTTATTATACAAAGAAATGAAAATGCTTCTCTTCAGTTTTATATTCCAAGGAAACTAGATGCTGAATCAAATTATACCTCTTTCAAGAAATAAAGATGCTCCCTAATCCCCATTTTTCTTACACCACAGATTAGGGAGCTGTGTCTTTGACAGATTCAGGGGCCATTGCAGTAAGAGACTTGGTATTTCTCCAGGATGCATAGTGTTCTCTAGATGGCGAACCTATGGCACACATGCCACAGATGGCACACAGAGCCATATTTGCTGGCACGCCAGCAGTCAGTTCTGGCGCACAAGGACCGTTTTTACCCTCCCCAGGTTTCAGTAAAGCCTCTTTCCTGAAGCCTGGAGAAGGTGAAAAATGCCCCCAACAGGCCAACTGGAAGTTCGGGAACAATCCATTTCCAGCTTCTGGAGGGCCTCTGGGGGCCAGGGGATGCTGTTTTTGCCCTTGATACACTTCAGGAAAGCCTCTGTAGCCTGAGGAGGGGTAGTATGCACATCGCAGGGTGGTCACGCATGCATGCACAGGTGGGCGGGGAGGATTGAAATGGTATGGGCATGCGTGCATGCGCAATAGTATCTTCACACAAAATTTTGGTACGGCGTAAAAAAACGTTTGCCATCACTGTATTAGAGTATAATCCACAAATGAAGGGAAATATATATGTCCCAGGATAATGTTGCAGGATCGCATCCAATTAGCCACATACAACAGGCACCATATAAATACTACACATGGAGTAGCACACACTTTGCTAGAGAAACGTTCCCTGAAGATGGGCTCCAGCACGAGTCTGAAAGCTCGAAAGACAAAATCTCTGGTCCCAGGGACCAACCCAGATTGGACCCCAGAATACAAAACCTATAGTATTTGATGCTGAGTTGTAGTCCAAACTGCCTGTAGCCACCAGGGTGGAGGAGAAACACTATGCTGCAAAATGCTTTTTCTCAAGCCAGTTTCAGTCTTGTGACAATAGTACAAAAAGTGGCATGGGAATGTAACAGATTGGTGACATTTTCTACACAGCTGACAGCTTTTGAAGTTGAGATAAAGGGCACATCCCAAAAGCTAACAGCAATAGCTTTAAGCAATCCTCCCAATAATTTTTATACTTAGCAGCAGATATTCTTCATTAAATTTATATGCTTCCCCATTTATTCTACATAGGAACTCTTTGGATATGTAGGTGAAAATGCATACATTAATTTTGAGTGGTAGTTATTAAGTCACTCTGCTTGTTGAAAAAAAGAAACTTGAAAAAATAATTAAGAAAAGCAGCGAAAACAATTTTCTTATTATTAGGGAAGATTTCTTTTTTCCTTCTGCTGTTCTTATCCACTGCTAGATGAAAGTCTCTTCATTGATAGGTATGAATCATAATCTGCCACACTGGTAGAGTGTGGGTTTGTAGACAGGTATTTTATGACTCCCCATCTAGGGGACAATATCACATAGACAGCTTCCGTGTCTAAGGGAGACTAGAACATGGGTTGTTAACTCCTATTCCAGCATCTTAAATTACTATACCACATTGATTCTTATACATTCTTACTATATCTGACGGGAATGTGTACATAAAAGATTCTTGTTTTAATAAAGCAAAACAGTCACTTACTTGCTTTTCTGATTGTCCATAATCAGGACCTTGAGTTGGTAAAAAGTAGCAAATGTGACCATTGTTTTTAGCTTTTTCACGAAGACCCATAGCGGTTCGGACTGTAGCATTTCGAGCATGAACAAATACCATCACCTTGGCACAAAAAAAGATATAATGTATGTTAGTTTTATATTTATTTTTCTGTAACAGAAGATTTGTGGGCATCTTTAAGCTAATTCTTCTAATCCAAAGGAAGTTAACAATGATGTTTCTGGTACATATTGACATGAATATGAATACATAGCAACATAAATATGTTTATACAAGTATTTAGAAATTATAATATACAATTAGCTTTTAGAGAGGAACAGTTATGAAAAATGTATCATATGAATGAATGGTGTGCAGACTGGAATACTTTTAAGAATTTATATAATGGAATGTTAAAATAAAATTATCCCTGGCACTCCTAAAATGTAAAGCATAATCATGTGCACGTAAAATTGAGAAGAAATCTCAAATAAAAATAGATACTGAACATTGGTATGCACACTGAAGTGATATGTTTTTTAAAAAAATATAAAGACTAAAATACTAAAAATGCCCCATGCTAACATTTTTGGTGCTGGGGCTGGGTTTCTGGCCTCAAGGGTCTGGTGAACTGTCACCTTTATTCCTTGATATTTCCATGGACAGAGCTGGAATGAAATTTAGGGGTTCTCCTGGACTTACGGATCTTTCTCAAACAACAGGTGGAAGCCACGCCTATTGGACTTTTACAAAGATTCATTATCCGTCCACATTCCTGGACAAGGAGGCCTTGCTCATTTTACTCACGCCTTAGTCACTTTTTTGTTGGACTACTGCACTGTGCTCTACATTGAACTACCCTTGAAGGCTACCCATACGTTATGAGAGGCAACGTACAACAGTATTGGGTGCTTCTCAGTTTGTCCATGTCACACCATTGTTGTGCAAGCTACACTAGCTCCCGATTTTCTTTTGAGTGCAATACAAGGTGCTGATTATCCATTTAAAGCTTTATGTGGCATGGGGATTGGTTGTTTGTGGGACTGCCTCCCCTTGAAAGTACTTTGCTTGCCTACAAAGTTACCTGAATGGGCATGTTCCATTCCCTAAAATATTGAAAGTGTATCTTCCTATGGTTGGCCCTACCCTGTGGAATACTTTATCCTGATCCTTTTAGCTTTCCAGAAAGCCATAAAGACCTGGCTTTTCTCCCGGGTGCTAAGGTAGAGTGATGTGAGCCTATGGATTTTGCCTGGGGCATCCTAGGAGGACTATTGAAGCACTATGTTTTAGTCTTTGTTTTTATGGTTTCATTGCTTCGTGGTTTTAATTTTGTTATGAACCCAGAGTTGTGCTCTAAGATGGGTGGCTATATAATCTTTTAAATAAAAAATAATAATTAATTCTCATTAAGAGGTATGCTTAGAAAAGGGACTTCAACAGAATAAAATCATCTACTTTTCAATCACAAATTCTTCTTTTAAAACAAGTCCAAGAGCCAGTAGTTGGCATCTTGTAGCAATGGATTCTTAAATCAATAAGCAATGCACGAAAAACAACTTTTGTCTGACTTCAACCTGCTACCAATAAATTTCAATGAATCACCCAGTGTTCTAACAATTGAAGAAAAGGAAATGGATATCTATCCACTTTCTTTACAGTAGACATATTTTTTACAAGCCTGTAAACTGAGAAGAATTTTTGAAAGCTAAAGCTGAATGTGGTGAGTGTTAAAATTTGGGAATTCCATTATCTCATACATAGATGGGAATATGTGAATAGCATCAGTTCCTGCATCAGCAAGGAATTAATCATGTAGAATACAAGCCTCATTTATCATTACTTCCAAAATATACTATAAGGAAGAAAAAAATTGAGCAGCATTGGTCCAAGACCAACCTTTTTTTTCCCCCAAAAGGCATCCCTTTTACTCAGCATATAAAATGAGCTTTAAAAACTAAACATCACAGACAGAAGAGGGTTAACACAGCCTGTCCTAACTATGTCAAGATAATTTTTTATTTCAGTGGCTAACCTCTATGCATTACATTATGCAAATAAGTTGGAAAAAGTAATTTGGAATAGAGAAAAGTGGTTCCACAGCTACAAGCTGTGTAATTAGATCTGTACTCTGAAGTTCAAAGCTAGCCCCGGTGTCTCAAGAGCCGAGAGCTTGTGTAGCTTTTTTCAGGAAAACTAAACTTTTAAATGACAAAATATGCAAGCAAAGCACAAAGGAAATGTTTCCAGGTTAGCACTGCAGAATACTGGGTAGGTGCGTGGGTGGGTGAAAGAATTTTTTTTAACTAGTCTTTGGTGTAAAGAAATAATACAATAATGATATTTATAAGAAGCCATTTTAAACTAAAACATTTCAAAAATCTCTTTACAAATATATGACAGAAATTCAATTTTGATTGCTAAGGTGTACGATCTATCTCTAAATTATTTTACACTGCACGAGAACAAAGATTCCTACTACTTAAACCATCAATCACATTAACTTCCACTAAGATTCTCTTTTGAATGTGATCTTTTTGACTGATAGGAGGTAGAAGTGTGCCAAACATTTCAAATTCAAAAGATTTTATTCTGAATTTGAAACATTCCGCACCCAGTTAAAAATGTGCATCTTAAAACCCGAAACAGAAATGTTCCAAGTTTGAAATGTTTCTAGAATGGTGAATATAAATAAATATTAGCTTTGGAACATAAACCAGAGCATTTTGAATATGTTTAGGAATAAGCTATCTTCACAAGTACCCAGCAGGCTTGAAAATTCAGTCAAAAACTTTGTAAATGCATGACACAGGACATTTCTGCTATGTCATTATAGTGATGCTCCAATTTTATATTAACAATATAGCTATCAGTTGTCATCCCACTGGAAGTTTTCTCTTATCCATCAGCTTTATTTTATAATTTATTAATAAATAGATTAATAAATAGATAATATCATGGCTCTTTGGCATATCAGTATCTTAGGTATACAGGTATCCTGCAATATTGTTGATACAGAGGTTAAAAAGCCTTGGGTAGAATACAACCCTGTGTTAACACATTTATAAGCAGTTTACTCTGAATTAGAGAATCATTTACACCTCTTCAGATTTTGAAGTGGATGTCTGAATAGAACAAAGAAGTAAAATTGTGAATGCCACATTTAAAGTGAACAATTTTTTTCCATAGATGTTTCTCTTTATGGATTCAAAACCTGCAGAGAGATATATGAAAATGGTAAACTGTTAATTGTCTTTATTTACTTGTTTTGCTGATTGCTGGTGTAAAATTAAGAAAGTAAAAGTGTTATCTTACATGTGGAAACACAAAAGCATCAAATATATATTTATGCTACCATATACTTGATCTTTTATTTAATTGAATAGATGACCTATAACTAAAGATCGTTTTTGCAAGCGTGTATACAGAGGTTAGCCTATATATATCGTCTGTGGCATTTTCCTGAAAAGCTCATTTCAGAGTTGGAGGTAGTGCTATGGAGTTCCCATCAATGGTTAATGCTTTTATTCAAATTTTGTAAATCCTTTCCCCACACCATGCTTTTTCTATTTAGTAGGGCGCCCATATATAAGGATAATTATTTTGGAGGATTGGCATAGCAGAAATATTAAAAAACCACTCTCCACCAATCCCTTTCCACGTCTGTTTTCCTGATTGTAACCTTATGCCAGACACTTGAGACACTGATGGCTTAGTGCTTCTAATATAAATGAACATATATTTTACTTTTGTGATGGAATCTGAAACGCAGAGAGAATTGAGCTTGTGTGCAGACATACTCCACACTTGCATGAATACAGATGAGAAAATACTACTGAAAAATATGAAATTGAGCTCATAGGTCATATTTTTAATAAATACTCAGATTTAAAAAGGATTAATATTTATATTTTTGACGCATGTATGCAACTTGTTGCTAGTGGAATAATAATCTAAGAACATTTATTTCAAAATCTTACTTCAGCTTTGAGCCCTTTTCTTTTACATCATTATTCATGCTCATTGCAAATGATAAGTATCTTTTAAACTAGGAACTTCATTCCTCTCTGAATTGCAAAATATTCCCTTAGTATCATAGTACCTAGCCACCCAAAGGTACACTATTTAAAAGTTACAGTCCCATTTCCTTTCAGTCCCATAAAATAGTTAGCTGATAAGCAAGGAATCTGTATTCATTGTGCTGTGTAAATTTTACTTCTTGCTGTCTGGATTTACAGAGCTGCTCTTTAACATTTGCTAAGGCATATAAATTGCAGCAAACCCTGTATCAGCTGATTTATCCAGGTGTCTTTTCTCTGGTTGATCCACCTGCCAATGTGGGAGAACAGCATACAAATGCCTACTGATTTGGGCATTTACCTACTACAGTGCTTCATTATAATTTTCTACACAAAATATAGGATAGTTAGAAAAATCTATGGGCACAGCATTACTAGCTAAAATTGTCAGGGGTGATTTAGAGAAAACATCTGCTGGAAACTCATCTTTAATTTGGCTGTTATTCAGAAATTACCTGAGGATGAATAACATGCTAAAAATATAACAAAAATGCCACAATCTCCTCCTTTTAATTTGATAGGAGTTACAAATTTGAATTTTAGCAAACATAACAAAATTATTAAATTGCCTGAAAAATATTTCACCTTAGTTTCCAAGAAAGATTATTTCACATGCCTTATAAAAATGCATATTAAAATATAATAAATGCATTAAATAGAAACACTTATTAGAAAAAAAGATAAATCAAGATGCAAAAGAAATCTCAATATTCCATTGCTATGATTTCGAGCAACAAAACATGGGCTTCAAAATATATATTACATCTTTGATTAAAAAAATAAAAATAACTATATCCATCATTAATAACACATTTAACCTGAATATTTGCAAGTATACTCCAAAAGCAAGACACCCTGTTGATTGTTGCATCAATATTCACAGTCACATGCGAATCCAGTCTAGGTTGAGTTTCCCAATTAATTGATTAATCAAGGTAATATAATGTATTTTGAATAATATTGAATATTTTTCATTTTTTTTCCTGATATTAACATTATTTGTCTAATGTGTTTCCTTCTCATGCTATATTATATTCAATAAAA